AAAAAAAAAAAAAAAAAAAAAAAAAAAAAAAAAAAAAAAAAAAAAAAAAAAAAAAAAAAAAAAAAAAAAAAAAAAAAAAAAAAAGGATCTACCAAAGAGAAATGAAAACCTAAATTCACACAAACACTTGTTCACAAAAGTTCATAGCAGCATTATTCATAATAGCCCCAAAAAAGAAGAAACAACTGAAATATCCATCAAATGACTAACAGGCAAATAAATTATGATACATCCATGCAATGGAATAGCGTTTAGCAATACAAAGAAAAAGTACCCAATATGCTACAATATGAAACTTGACACATTAATGGCAAGGGAAATAAGCCAGTCACAAACAACCACAAGCAGTATGCATCCATTTATGTAAAATGCCCAGTATAGGCAAATCTACAGAGACAAAAAGATTAGTGGTTTCCAGGGTGGTATGGATGGAAGGACTAGAGTGTGATGGCTATGGGATGTAGTATTTCTTTGGGGGATGATAAATATTTTAAATTGTGATGATGGCTGTTCAACTGTTAATACACTAATGGGTAAATCATATGATATGCAATTCTACTACGTCCCACTGCTTGAAACTGGTTGTGACACTCAAATATTCTCAGAGTTTTCCTGTAATATAAATAACCAAAGAACCCCTTCTTCAGAGATAAGGAAATGCCAACTCTCATTAAGAGCAAGGGGAAGTGACGCTGGGCTGCCCCAAACAAGGGGACTAAAAAATACTCTCGTGCCAAGTCAAACAGAAAAAAGTTTTCAAGGGTACTCCATTGCCCTGCCCTCCTGATACCCTGGAAAACCTGTGAGTTCCAGTCAAAAGTTAAGACTCAGCTGAAAGTCGATTCAATTACCAAACTCAAAGTCTGGAAATGCAGCTCAGCAGTAGAGTGCTTGCCTGGCATGCAAGAGTCCTGGGACTCAATCCCCAGTTCCACGCACACAAAAAAAGAACATTATTTTGAAAGAAGTAGAAAACAAATCCCATTATGAGGAAATTTGTGTGAGAATCTTCCTTTGTTTCGTTTTAAGTTATGGTAGAAATATATATAACATTTGCCAGGCATGGTGACACACACCTGTAATCCTAGCAACTTGAGAGGTTGAGACAGGGGCATTGCAAGCAATCTCATCAAGACCTTCAGCATCTTAGCATGACCTGTCTCAAAATAAAAATAAATAAGAAGGTCTGGGGGATGTAGCTCAGTAGTTAGCATCTGAGTTCAATTCCCAGAACTAAAATAAATAAATAACACATAAGTACACAGGTACATTTAACTTTTTTTTTTTTTTTTTTTTTTTGGTATCAGGGATTGAACCCCCGAGGGCACTTAGCCACTAAGCCATATCCCCATCCCCTTTTATTTTTTATTTTGAGATGCGGTCTCATTAGGTTTCTTACAGCTTCGCTAAATTGCTGAGGCTGTCTTTGAACCTGCAATCCTCCCAAGCCACTGGGATTATAGACATGCACCACCAGGCCCCATATCCTAACCATTTTTAAGTGTACAGTTCCATAGTGCTAAGTATATTCACATTATTGTACAACCAATCTCCAGAAATCTTTCATCTTGCAAAACTGAAAGTCCAAGATCTGGAGGCATACATAGCTCAGTGGTAGAATACATGTGCAAGGCCCTAGATTGGATCCTCAGCACTGCGAAAACGAGAGATGGCAGAAGGGAAAGTGGACAAGAGCAYAGCACACTTTTAGTGCAGGACTATGGATGTGGCTCAGTGATGGAGCACTTGCATAGCATGCGTGAAAAAGTCCCAGTGAAACCCATCTATTTGTACAGTTAATATGCATTAGTAATTATAAGTTTAAAAAAACTGATATTCTGTACCCATTAACAATTTCCCTATTCCCCTCTTTTAAACCCTGGCAATTGCCATTCTACTTTGCTTCTATAAACTTTACTTCTTTTGATGGCTTACAAGGGGAATCATGACTGGCTTATTGAACTTAGCATAATATCCTCAAGGTTCATCCATATTATATGTCAGAGTTTCCTTTGCCCTTTTTTTTTTAATTGATCTATATCAGGATAGAATCCAGAGATGCTCTACTGCTGAGCTACATCCCCAGCCCTTGTTTTATTTTTACTTTGAGAGTCTCACTAAATTGCTGAAGCTGGCCTCAAACTTGCACTCCTCCTTCCTCAGCCACCTGAGTTTCTGGAATGACAGACATGCATCACAGTATCCAACTATTTCCTTCCTTTTTAAGACCGAATAATATTTTATTGTATGTATATATTTCTGATATATCATATTTTATTTTGTCCATCCAGAAGCTCTACTTCTATCTTAGGGGTATGGGCCCATTGGTCTAGTAGAGCAAAAGGTAACGATTTTCATTTTAAACCAGGAGAGAGACTGCTTGTATGATGTTTGTACTCTAGGAAACAAGCTAACTAAGAAGCCAGATTCTTACAGTCAAGCCCCCAATTCCAGTCTAGCCAAAATATTCTAATACTTTATCAGTCATGGCAAAATCCAAAGGAGATGTCAAAATCACATATCAAAATCTGTATACAGGTGGAAAGTAGTTGAATAACCCATTTCTTACTTTGGCAGTTAAGGGTGATTCACAACTCCTTCCTAGAACAAATAATGACAATCATGTGTGCAGCTAGAATATCCATGTTCTCAGTGTTTTAGGGCACTGACCCAGGTTCATACCTCAATTCTGCTTTTCTCACACAGCCTCATTTTTTAAAGATTTTTTTCAGTAGTTGTGTATGGACAGCATGCCTTTATTTGTTTACTTTTTTGCAGTGCTAAGGATCAAACCCAGTGCCCCACACATGCTAGGCAAGCACTCTGCCACTGAGCTACAGTCTCAGTCCCAGCCTCATATTTTGACTGGAAAATTAGTAGAAATGGGGGGAGTGATTATGCTTACACTTTATGGGATTATTTTTAGCATGAAATAGTTACAAATCACAATCTCTTACAACCTACAGAATATATTAGGTATTATTCTAAGACCATACGGCATATAAGGTCCCACTAAATCTTTAAGTTGCAAGTAGTATTCTCCCATTTTCCAGATGAGGAACCTGCCCACAGAGGTGAACTAACTTACCCAAGGTCACTGCTAGTGGTACACCTGAGATGCTAATTCAGGCTATCTAGCTCCAGAGAAAATGCTCTTATCAACCAGACCTGGCTGAAATGAGCTAACGTTTGGCAAGCATCCTGTACTACGTCTGAACACAACGTGCTTAATAATGGTACTTCGCATTTCATACACAACGTGTGGAAGTCCAGAAAAATAGGTAAGTGGTAACTAGTTTAAGGTTTGGCTGCCTAAAGGAGATCAACCTCTCCCCTAATTCCACAAGCTCACTCCTTTCCCAAGCTTCGCCAGAGCTCTCCCAGTAGCCGGGGGCGCCCTCCTTTCCAAGCCCCCAAAACTCCCTGTCGCGCGGGGTGCCAGCCTTGAAGCTGGGCCAGCGCGCGGGAGTTGTGGCTGCGGGTCCGGGCCGCGCCGAGTGAGCCGCGGGAGCCCACAGTGGCGGGACCCGCGTTTACCTTGGCGCGCACTCTCATCGCCCGAGACTCCCGCGCAAGGACGCAGACGGCGACTTCGGCACTTCTGTCGCTTCCGAGAGCCGCGATCCCAGGCTCGCCCTGGTCCCCGCCCGCGATCCGTGCGTCTGGCAGCTCAGTGGTGCGCCTTTTCTCTTCCCAGCCCTGGCTCCAGCCACCTCGGGACTCCTCTGCCGCCGGCCAGGAGCGGACCCACCTCGCAAATTCCCCACAGCCCCAAGCTGAACCCCTGCTCCGGGTTCGATTTCCGCTCTGACACCACCTCCGCTCTGGCCCCACTCCAGCTGCCGGAACAGGGGCTGCGGGTCCTGCCCTCGCTAGGGTCCTCTACATTTGCCCACACTCAACTGTGATAATCATCTTCGGGTGGGGACTAAAGAACTCACTCCAAAGCCGGGATTTCGTAAATCCTAGCAATTCTAGATCCTACTTAGATTATTTGTGAGCCTGGCCCCACCCGCAGCCTTGGGCTCCGATCTGGTGACTTGCCTAAGTCCCCGGTGCCCCGTCTGGCAGAAGCAGCTTGAGAGTACCTGTAAACGCTCGGTGACAGTCGACGCGTCCATCCTTGATTTGCAGGCCCCGCTACCAAAGCCTTTTCTGAGCTTGCGACTGTGGAGTCGGAAAATCTGGACTCCGGCTCCACCTCCACAAACTGCCTTTTACAGCCATGTGGATTTGTCCTGTACCTTTTAGCCCCAGTTACCTCCTGTGTAGAAAGGAAGGTGACTCCAATCTCCCTTTGATCAAAGAAAGTATAGTGAGGATCAAATGGGATTGTTCACTGCCATCACTGTCAAATTTTATGGTATTGTATTGTTCTTGTTGCGTCAGTGTGGTGGGGTGAGGACGCCCAAGATTTAAACTAACAGCACTGCTTTTACTACCTGTGAGGTATTGGAAAGGTCAATTCTGTGTCTCAGTTTACTTATATATGCAGCGAGAATAATAGCAAAACAAAACAAAACATCTCCCTCATGGAAGTTACAATGAACAAAGGAAAGTGCTTATTTTACTTTAATGTGGAGTATCATACAAATGCTTTTATAATTTCTGTTATTTTTGGTAAATTCTTCTGGCTGGAAAGTGTTCCTCCCCGCCCCCCAACCCCTTAGGGTACTAGGGATGGAACCCACAATGAAACTGATCTACATCCCAGCCCTTTAAAAAAAAAAAAAAAAGTTTTATTTTGCTGGGCATTGTGATCCACGCCTGTAATCCCATAATCCCACCTGCTTGGAGGTGTGAGGCAGGAGGATTACAAGTTCCAGGCCAGCCTCAAAAATTTAGCAAGGCCCTAAACTACTTAGCAAGACCCTGTCTCAAAATTTAAGAAGAGAGAGAGAGAGAGATACTGAGTGCTGGGGATGTGGCTCAGTGCCCAAGGATTCAATTCCAGGTACAAAAAAAATTAAAAAAATAAAAGTTCTATTTTGTAATAGGGGCTTGCTTGCTAAGTTGTCCAGGTTGGCCTTGAACTTGTGATCTTTCTGCCTCAATTTTCCAGATAGCTAAGAGGACAGGCCTGCAGTCACTACATCCAGTAAGACATGTTTGTTTGCTTGTTTGTTTTGGTGTTTTTTTTGTTTTGTTTTGTTTTTGTTTTTGTTTTTATTGTGCTAGGGGTTGAATCCAGTCGTGATTTACCACTGAACTACATCCCCAACCCTATTTATGTATTTATTTCTTCCAAGACAGGGTCTCACTAAATTGCCCAGGCTGAGCTCAAACTTTCCATCATTCTGCCTCAGCCACCTGAGTTGCTGATTACAGGGGCCTACCACTGAGTCCAGCTGCCCAGCAAAGCAATCATGACAAAGGCTGCTGTGGTCAGTGATTTTAAATGAATCCCAGTATGCTGGGAGAGGTGACACAAAAGCTCATGGACAAAGTGAGTCTTACATTATGACAAGTGTTGTAACAATACTATGCTTTCATACAAGTGTCTTAGGGACACCTACCTGTTAAATCCAGTCTGAATTTTTGTTCAGTGAATCCACGTTTGGAGACATAGCTATTAACTGTGTTCCCCCACTGTTTCTCCCCCATGTTGTTCCCCTATTTCTCAACATGGTTTAATGAGCATTTCTTTGTTTATTAGAAAACTGGAATATGGCCAGGCATGTCTGTAATTCCAGTGGCTGGGGAGGCTGAAGCAGGAAGATTGCAAGTTCAAAGTCAGCTTAAGCAATTTAGTGAGGCCATAAGCAACTTAATGAGACCCTGTCTCAAAATTAAAAATAAAAAGGGCTAAGGATGTGACTTAGTGGTTAAGCGCCTAAAAACAAAAAACAAAAAAAAAAAAAAAGAAAGAAAAAAGAAAGAAAGAAAGAAAGAAAATTGGAATATGTGTTGGTATTTTATTGCAGTTTTTCTATTAAAACATTGATTCTTCTTTTTTCTCCATAACTCATCTCCTTCAAAGAATAATTTGTAAACATTCAACATGTGTACAAGTTCTTCTGAGGCAAGCAAGTACCTCTCTAAAAAAAAAGAAAAAAATCCTTCTTTTTAGTTGTAGATGGACACAACACTTTCCTTTTATTTGTTTTTATTTTTATGTGGCGCAGGAGATCAAACCCAGTGCCTCACGCATGCTAGGCAAGCGCTCTACCACTGAGCCACAATTCCTGCCCCTGGCAAGTTCCTCTTGATTTGGATCCTTCATTCACCTCCTCTGTTAATTTTCTTATAGCCTTAGAGACTGGAAGCTCTCAGAAATTTGCAGACCCCCCAAGAAGATGACACATTTGGAACCCAAGATGCTAAAGAATCTCAATGTACTGTGACTATCATCTTATAGTTTCATCTCTTTGGGAATGAACATGTTAGGATGGTCATATATATATACACATATATGTGTTACAGTATTTTTCCATTTAATAATTTACTTATTACTTCCTTAATAACAGACTTTAGGTTAATTTATTGTGCTATATAATTTCGAAATACATATCCTACTATGAAAATTTGTATTATATGTTATTTTGGGGGTGGGTAACCAGATACAATCTTCCTCAGTCACAATGTCCTTCATGATGGCATTTTGTTCTTGTCAGTAAAATATTATCCATTTTCCTAGAGCTTAAGATGGTAAAATAAATGTGATGGTTGTACTATAGCAATTCTATATCTACACATAATGGGCTTCCCTTCTCAAAAAGTTTCAATTATTATACCTTCCAGGATGTTACAGAAATATTTGGGTAGCTTTACTGTCAAGTAAATCACATACAATTTGTTTTGAGGAGGATGTAATCTAAAGACTTCATCAATGCTGAAAATGTACACATTTTTTGCTGTGCTGATATTGCTGTACTGAAAGTTGGTTTGTTCAAAGTTTATAAATACTTCCCAAAGTGAAGTTTTAAAGAATTAAATAAAAACAAAATAAAACTCACTAGTAAATGGAAGTCAAGATTTTTTGAATGGTAACTCTGATACATATAAAATGTGTTTGAAATTCTAGTTCTGCCATTTATTCAACCTGTGGCTTTTACAAAATGTTTGACTTTTCTGAAACTCAGTTATCTTATAAAATGACAGTTAATAATGTGCTAAAAATAAGGCATTGGCCAGCTTAGTGGCACATACTTAAAATCACATCTACTCAGGAGGTCAGTAGAGGCCCAAGCATCACAAGTTTGAGGTCAGCCTTGGCAACTTAGCAAGACCCTGTCTCAAAATAAAATTTAAAGGACTAGAGTGTATCTCCTTGTAGAGTGCCCCTGGGTTCAATCCCTAGTACCACAAAAAGTAAAGGAAAAACAATGCCTTTGGTAAAGTGTCTAGCACATGGTGGGTTCCTAATAAGGATTAACTTATCCACGAGACACATTGACAATGTTTCAGGGAGACTTTAATTGAAAATATATAAAATTTAGGGGACTGGGTGTGTTCTGGTGGCAGAGCATGTGCTTAGCATGCACATGGCCCTGAGTTCAATACAGAATGAAAAGGAATTAAAATGAATGGAATTTATTATTTATTTGTTTGTTTATTTTTGCAGTATTGGGAATTAAACTCAGGGATGCTCTACGACTGAGCCACATTCCTAGCCTTTATAATTTTTTATTTTGATATAGGGCCTCAATAAATTACTGAAGGTAGCCTTGAACTTGCAATCCTCCTGCCTCGGCCTCCTAAGTAACTGGAATTATACGCAACTGCACCGAACTTAGCTGAAACATAAAATAGTTTAAGAATCCTAGTTTAGTTCAACAGACTCTATATATGATCTTAACACCTTCTTGTGACACTATATATACATTTCAAACAAATTTTGTAAAGTTAAAACAAAAACAAGATGATACTAGATAAGTGATGAGGCGTGAAAGCTTCTGGTTAATTCGTTTATTTTCTACCTCTCAGTTTTCTTACCACAAATGGAAAAGCATAATTCCTTAAGCTATTAGAGTATTTGTTCCATGAGCAACTGTGGCTGACCCTCCAAGGACAATGTACTGGTAAGATAAACTGTCTCACCACAAATAACCCCCAAATTTAGTGGCTTACAATAACATGGTTTTTTTTTTTTTTTAATTTGCCATCATTCTGAGGGCTGACTGGGCAGTTCTGTGGGGTTGCTGGTTTCCCCCAGTGGACTTTTTTTTTCCAGGGCCACAGTCTCAGAATGGCCACTTGAGGCTTAGCTCAGAAACTTAACCATGGCATTTTTGCCATAATATTTTGTCAGTCACAGATTGAACTCAGATTTAAGGAAGTAGAGATTCTGCCTTTGCATGGGATAGCTATTGTCAAGTCCTATTGCAAAGTGAGGTGTTCCTGGGAAAGGAATTTGTGATCCTTTCACAACCTAGAGTGTCAACTCTTTTAAAGAAGCTGGAGACAGTGGCCTCCATCAGCTTGCCTAGCACTTTGTTAAAGGAGCTCACCCAATTTTAGCATTCCTGAAGCAATATCTTAAGATGATTCTGAGTCAGGAATCAAACATTTACCATGTTTGCTGCATGACGGGCTGGCTTGAAGGCTGTGAAATTTTTAAAGTCTGGGCAAAAAGAGAGGACAAAAAAGAAAAAGGGAGAGAAGAATGGGAAGAGGAAGAAAAGGGTTGAGGGGAGCAACAGAGAAGGAAATAAAGCACTGTTTCTATTTATGAGTGTTACCCGTGGTGCCCCAGGTACCATTTCATTGCTGATTGTTCATCTTCCTACAAACTTGAGCTTCTTGCAGATTGGACAACATCTCATTCATCTTTGTTTTTTCTGGTGTCCAGCACGATGGCTGACAATCTGTGTTCAGAAAATATTTGTTGATCTGAATCAGTCCACTCTGGACTATTAATTAACCTTCTAAACTTAAAATTTCATAGCTAGCTGTGGGCATGGGTGTATTTGTGACCAGAAGCCTTTAATAGACAACTTTTCCTTTCTTCTTTTTTTTTTTTTTTTTTTTTTCAGTACTAAGCATTGAACCCAGGGGGCTCTACCACTAAGCCACATCTCCCAGTCCTTCTTATTTTTGAGACAGGTCTCACCAAGTTGCTAAGGCTGTTCTAGAATTTGTGATTCTCCTGCCTCAACCTCTGAGCCTCTGGGATTAGACACATGCACCATTGAGCTCGGGTATAGACAATCCTCTCAACTGATTGAGAGGCCTGT